AAAAGTAGATAGTTCTCCTATTTCTTCTGATTCTTTTGATTCTTCTCTTTACACTTCATCTGAGTCTAAATCTGTACAATCTGACCTGCCACTTCTACATTCTAAGATCTTGGAACATTTGGAACATTAGGTGACTTCCAGATTTGCAGAAAAGGCTTCTTACTACAAATCCTGCTTGTCACTCATCATCACTCTAATAACCTGACAGATGTACTGTTGCTTCTACAGGCAGTCCTTAATTTAGTGCCCTGACTTTCTATAAGCAAAGTATGCTCCTTACTTTCAGGCTTCTCTAATGTCTATCAGAACAGATTGATTGCAAATTACAGACAGATCAATCTGAGGGCTCAGAACTGTTGGAGCTAGACACATGTGTGAGTGTTCTGTACAGACTTAATACATCCAAGCTACAGCTTGGTTGAAGGAGATGGCACGTGTCTTCTACTCAGTGTAGGTGACTAGTTCTAGCATCATTCTAAGAATCTTATCAACCAGTTCCAGGTGAAGAGCTTTTTCAAGCATTCTGATGAGGACATCATTGAACCCAAGTATGAATCCTGCCTTCCAGGCCAGGATATTGAACTCCTGAAAGAAGGCATCAGCAGAACATTTGCCCTGTTATAGAGACACAAGCTTGTTCTACACATTGTACTTCTTATTTGGATCAATGAAGGAAGCACAGAGCTGCCCTATGAATTCTAAGTATAACTCATTGTTCCAAAGTTGGATCAGGCTTCCAATCTAATGACCTTCAATCCAGTTCTGGGCCCAGGTGGCTGTGTTGCCTTCCTTCATGAAGGAGAGGATGAATAGGACACAATCAAGATCTGAGGATAGATTGGTCAAAGTAGTAGCCACATATAGTTTGACTTAGCACTGGAAGTCCTTAAAGTGCTACCTATTAAAGTCTGAAGGGTAGGCTACATACACTTTCTTTCTAGAACAGGTTGTAACTTCTGGAACAATTGGAACAGGTTCTGAAGGGGCTGGGGGTATGTAGTTAGCAAAGGCCTCTTGGATGGAGGTCTGTACATATTAAGCTAGTTCTGCTTGTAACTGCTGATCTGGTAGGACAGTAGGGGTGGCAGTTAGTATAGTAGGGTCTATGTTTACACTACAAAGGAATCAACACTAAACTAAAAGGGGTAATGAATAGAAGAAGGGTGGCAAAAGTTTAAAAGGGTTTAGAAAGTTTAAAATTTAAAAATGTAAAAGGGTCAGGACAAAGGAAAGAGATTAATACAACAGTAAGTACTGATGCCCAAAATGTAGGAGAGTTGTAGAGTGGTAATAGGTAGTCTTAATCTGATGTCAGCAACAGTATAGAGGGGACCCAAAGGCTCAGTGAGGGGACCCAGGCTACAACTATCTTACACAACAGAAATACAGAACACAAGCACTAGAATGTAGTCAGAACTTGTAGAATGGGCAGAGAGAGAGAGTGAGACAAGAGTAGAGTATATAGAGTGAGCCTAAGAGTACAGGACTACCTAGAGTAGACAAGATCAAGACTACAGAACCAGTCTGATCTTGTATGCCTATATATACTAAACTATACAAGAGCACTCAGAGAGTATGAGCCACTAAGAATGATAAGCCATAAAGAATGAAAGAAAGGAATGTCAAAGATAAAGGTACAAAGAATGAAGGGATGGATAAAGGGTAAGAGACCATAGAATGATACAAAGAATGAAGGGGTGGTCAAAGGAATGGAATGATGAAGTAAGGAAGGGTAGTAGCAAGAGTCAGCACACATATAGTTCATAGACAGTGCCCCTGAGGGACAGAAGTCCTGAGTTCCAGTATGGAAGGGTGTGGAACCCTTGGAAACTGAAGGTATGAGAGTAGAGAACTGTAACATTGACAAACAACCTGAGCTTAGAGGGCAATGTTGACTCTAGCAATATTGATCTTTATGTTCTTAACAGTACTAAGTATTAGTACTTGTCCAGAGTCAGTAGTTTTGAGCATAATTGTAAGATTAGAACACAGATGGATTCTGAGACATTTCTATACATTCTTACAAATGATACAGAGTATTACTCCTTAGTCTAGAATACAGTAGATTTCTTCAGTATCTTTAAAGATGGCTTTAACTGTACATAACAGTATAGCCTGTTCTGTAACTGACTCTAGGCTCTACACATACTGTAAGACTTGAGCTACAATTGTATCTTCAGAAGTTGTTAGTTCTAAGGGTTCTATTAAGACAAGGTGTGTAGGGGTGTTCAGAACTTGCCTAACAGATGACAGTTCCTTGACTTGCTTTCAGACATCAGGTGTAATTAACAACAGCTCCTTTAGGGTGAGGCTGATACTAGAGTCTAGAATGTGAGAGACTATCTACTAGACAATGACAGGGTCTTTAATAGGAGAGAGATTATAGTACTAATGTAGTTCTAGTAGTAGTCTGACAGTAGGCTTGTTAGTGTGCTTCAATCTGTCATACTTTAGGGCCTAGCTTACATTAGTAGGTAGTGTAGGCTTTGGTTCTAGCTTAGGTTTCTTGTCCTTCTTCTTTAGAATACTTGTTGTTCTACACCTCAGAACCTCTACTCTGTCAAACTTGAGCTTCTTACTAGTAGCAACTTTCTTCTTTGCCTCTCTGAGTAAGACTTTAAGTCTTTCAACCTTGTATTCTGCTTCTAAGACTTCTTTAATATATGTAGCTAGAACAGTAAACAATGTTTAGGATACTAGTACTAGCTTTACAATTTTGAGGAGGAACACTATATGTAATAGTATGTCCTATACATCTTAGGAAACTTAGGCACACTTTCTAGGGTTGGTTGTATAATACTAGTCAAAACAATCCATAAGTAGTTAGCCTTAGATTGTTGACAGAACAAACAATCTGTTAGAGAGAACAACCTTTCTAAATGTGTTCTAGATACACTTTCCATCACAAATGAACTCATTAACCTTTAGACACAAGTGAATAAAGTGTCTGTCTTCTCTACAGAAGGAGCAGTTTGTGTTGTAAGGCAGCCCTACAGAATGAGCAGATTGTACAGATTGTGCAGATTGTATACCTGTGTTTCCTACAAACAGGGAACTAGTCTTACATTCAAACAAGTCTAACTTGCTTTAGAATGAGTAGAGTAAATTAAGGATAGTAACTATGTTTGTATCTTCTTTCTTTATCAGAATGGTTCTAGAACTCATTGTTCTGAATACATCAGCTGTCTTTCCTAAGTGTTGTAAAGCTATACCTCTCTACATAAGCTTAGTAGCCTTAACAACTTTAGTGTATGTGTAAGCTATACAACTGTTGTAGTTAGGGTTGTAAGTTAGCAAACAGAGAGTTAGCTGATCTTTGAAGGCACCTGTAATACTGTCAAGGAATACTTTGTTCTAATCTTCTTTCATGATTTCTTTCTTTGAGACTAGGAAGCTTACTATCTTCTAGAATTTGTACTAGTACTCTACAAACTCCTCTTAGTTCTGGATTCTGGTGACAGCCTATTGTTGGACTAGAATACAGAGGTTATTCTTCATATAGTAGTAATTACAGTTGAGAGACAAGTATAATCTGAGAATTACTACTTGAGTAGCTTACCAATCTGAGACACTGTCTGTAGCTTCAGGTATTAAGGCCTAGATCTTAGAATTGGATTGGTTAGCATAATATTTTACTCTTCAGATAAGCTGTTAATCAGAAAGTTAGAACTCATCTCTAATCATTTCTACTTCTTCAAAGAACTGAGGCAGGTCCTACACATTGGTTCTATTATAACAGAGAGTATTATAGCTTGTTTAGTACAGGGGCAGGCTAGTCTGTCCTCAGATTGTAACTAGTAGAGTATTCAGAACATTAGTTGTGACTGGCTGACCACTTAGAGTACTAGTTACAGTAGGCAAGCTGCTTAGATTATTCTGTAAGCTTATCTGTTAAGACTAGGAACTTATCAGATTGTTCTGTGTACTCAGAACTGTCAGAACAATTAGAATTAGTAGAAATGCTAGAGTGATTGTGTGGTCCTCTTCTTAAACAGACAGAATAGGAGATGTAGAACAAGTAGAGTTGTACATAGAGGTTGATAGAAACAAACTAGGGAACAAACTATGAAACATGGATAGTGAAGCTGAGCCAGATTACTCAAGAGGTTGTACAGAAACTCTTTTAGAAACAGGACTGACTGTGTAGGATACAGGTTGTAAAAGGTTACAGTTGACCAAATCTAATTCAGGTCTGGAATCTGATTCTTCTGTGATCAAGTTAGTGTACTCTTAGTAGCACTACTACCTGTTGGCTGCTTAGCCTACTCAAGACACCTTGAGAAACCCCTCTCACAGTAGGCTCCAAAATGTCAATCTCAAGTACTAGTTGAGGTAAAAGAGGTTAGTTGAGTCTGTAAGGTACAGACACTGAGAGGGGTCAAGAGTGAGAAGGAATAGGTAGATCTGAGCAGAATGTACAAGTTCTAAAGGTGACAATTAATAAGATAAGAGTAGTACAGAATGATGAAGCTACACTTTAGAACAAGGCAATACAAGACAAGACAAGGTAAGATGGAATGTTTACTGAGGAGACTGTCAAACTACACACTAAGAGTCACAATAGAGAGTAACTTGATTGCTGGAAAGTACAAATTACATGAGAGTATTTATAGAAATTATGAGTCCTTTGTAGCTACTAGTCCTTTGTGAACAAATCCACCACTGTCTCCTTTGTATCAACCCATCCAGGACTCTGGATCTGAGTCCCCTTTGTATCAATCAACTAGCTGTCTAAAGGCTCAGAGTCTTGCCTTTGTGAATCAGAACTGGAGTCCAGAACCCAACTAGTCTGAGTTGAGCAACCAAGACTATTGTGTGGGCGATGATGACATAATCGAAGGATTGCTGACATGAGGATGATGCAACTTTGATACGACTGAGCCCTTCCGATTGGAACGTATCGGAACGTACGTGTTGTGTGAGCGTGACAGCATCCAGAGCCATTCAACTCTTTGTTCAAACTGTCAGATGGCAGGCTGACTTTACTCGATATTGTCCAAATGAATCTTCCGAAGGCAGAGTTTGCGTTCCTTTCTGCCTGCCATACCGCCGAACAGTCTCACGAAGTTGTGCAGGACGAAGTGCTTCATCTAGCTGCAGCAATGCAGTTCTCCGGTTTTCGAAGCGTGATTGGGTCGATGTGGGAGCTGCTTGACAAGGACGGGCCTTTTTTTGCGAAGACGGTTTATGAATACATGTTGAACTGTGACGAGGGCGAAGCGAAGTATAAGCGGGCGGCTGCTGGGCTTCGTAAAGCAGCTATAGAGCTGAAAGAACGGGCTGACATTCAGACTGAGAGATGGGTCAACTTGATTCACATAGGTGCTTGATTAGCTATAGAGAATTTTGTGTGTATAACTTGTATACTTGTTGTTCGGTATTTGCAGAATCTGTTATAACATCGACTTGCACGGAAAGCATAATATTGCATACTGGCTTCATTCGCATAGTAGAGAACGAGGTTATGCAGCCCTCCTTGGGCATGTTCCCAATTACTGATCATGAAATCAAGGATGACTTCAAGTACTCTGTGTTGTCTGTATCAAAGGACAAAGCTTGAGGATGGATAAAGGAAGGAACGGAAAGAACGGACCAGCACATTACTCTGGCCAACCTTCTGTTTTCACTTGAGTTGCTGCCTTAATTTTCAACGTCAATTTGTAGTCGTTGTTGGTATAGTTTCGTAACATATTCGTCTTTGGGGTAGGAATCTGAGGTGTGTAGCCTGTAACAGCAAAAAGCTAATCACCAAATTCGGTGTTGTGGAGGATTTGGTCGACGTCGGCAAATGCCGAAATGATGAACCTTTTGCTTGTTCGCCAACAGCTGATTCCTGCCTCTCTCCTCGACCTTCGCATTTTTATCGCAAACTTTCCGCAGTGTAATCGCTGCAAACAACAATCCAGAACCTCATTTGGGATCTGACTCTGCTTTCTTCGTGTTCTCTCTGTCAGGAAATCTACTGCCTGTCAAGATAAACGCGTTCCACAAACCCCCGCTTCGACTCACAAGTCTGTTATTTCGTAACCAATTTGACCATGTCGGGCGTTACAAGTCCCTCAGCATCATCATCGTATGTACATTTATTCCATAATCGACGATACTATGCCTGAAAATTGTACTTTTGCCAAGAACTGGAACTGGTAGTGGCCAGGACTGGCGGGCTGGTCTACGCGCACCACCAAAAGACAACCGCCCGCAGACGGAAGATGTAACAGCAACCAAGGGAATGGAATTCGAGGACATGTTCCTCCGGCGTGAGCTCCTTATGGGCATTTTCGAGGCCGGCTTCGAACGGCCGTCGCCTATCCAAGAAGAAGCAATCCCTGTAGCCCTCAGCAAGCGTGACGTCCTCGCCCGCGCGAAGAACGGTACAGGTAAAACTGCTGCATTCGTTATACCCACCCTCCAGCAACTCGATGTCAGCAAGAATAGGATTCAAGCGCTTTTGCTCGTACCTACTCGTGAGCTGGCGCTGCAGACAGCGCAGGTGTGCAAAATCCTCGGTAAGCACCTTGGTGCAAATGTCATGGTTACGACAGGTGGGACGACGCTGAAGGATGATATCATGCGTCTGTCGGAGCCCGTTCATGTCCTAGTTGGTACACCTGGCCGTATCCTTGACCTCGCCAGTAAGGGTGTCGCAGACCTTAGCGAGTGCCCCGTGTTTGTGATGGATGAGGCGGATAAGCTCCTCTCTCCCGAATTCACACCGGTGATGGAGCAGTTACTCTCTTTCCTTCCTGAATCGCGTCAGGTTATGCTTTTCAGCGCGACCTTCCCAATGATTGTTAAAGATTTCAAGGTAAATCTACCTTCCTGAGATGATTGAGATGATTTTTCTATGATCTGACTACCTTTTCTGAAATAGGATAAACACATGGACTCGCCGTATGAAATTAATCTTATGGATGAACTTACTCTACGTGGTGTGACACAATATTACGCCTTCGTCGAAGAGCGACAGAAGGTCCATTGTTTAAATACTTTATTCTCAAAGGTTAGGCGACATTTACGCACTTATTTTTACCAGTTTGTTGATAAATTTTCTTGTTCGTGTACAGCTTCAAATCAACCAATCCATTATCTTCTGTAACTCAACGAACCGAGTCGAACTTCTCGCAAAAAAGGTGACCGAACTCGGCTATTCATGCTTCTATTCGCACGCGAAGATGCTGCAATCGCACCGTAACCGTGTGTTCCACGATTTCCGGAATGGTGTCTGCCGCAATCTCGTCTGCTCAGACTTGCTCACCCGTGGTATCGATATCCAGGCGGTCAACGTCGTTATCAACTTTGATTTCCCGAAGAACAGTGAGACTTACCTTCATCGTATTGGTCGTTCTGGTCGTTATGGTCACTTGGGTCTTGCGATTAACCTCATCACGTACGAGGATCGATTCAATCTATATAAGATTGAGCAAGAATTAGGAACGGAGATTCAACCTATTCCAGCCCAGATTGACAGGAGTCTGTACGTTGCTCCAGCAGGAGGTGACGAGCCGTCGAACCAGGCAGAGCAGCAATTGCAACAACAGGTACAAAAGCAACAGCAACAACAGCAACAACAGCAGTTGCAGAAACAGCAGGCTGTACGCCAGGCGATGTCTGCACAGGTTGCTCCACAACCGCAGCAGATTATTTATCAAAGTAATGGGCAGGCGCCTCAGTCCCAACAGAGGGTCGTCCCTAATGGTCCCATGCCTGCGCAATTGCAGCAGCAGCAACTTGCGGCAGCGGCTGCACGTAACCAGCAGTACCAGGCATATGCGCAAGTTCAACCAGGTGTTGCTGCCCCTCGTCCTGGAGCGCAGCCTGTGCGCCGATAGTCGCATTCGGTGCGTACCTTAGGGAGGTGGGGTAGGGTTGTTTAATGAGAGCGCTCGAGGCGTGATAGCGCGTTCTCATGCTTCGCGGGTAGGATTGTTTGACATATGATGGTGAGAATTTCCTCGAGACGGCTTGGCTTCATTACGACTCCGATAAAACGATACGTGCGCACACCTTCTGGGCGGTCTCCAAATATCAGATTTACAATGACACGCATTCGACATTCACTGCTGCTTTTATATCCGTGTACTAATTTACTTTGGTCTGTTTTTATTTGTCTCTTTTTTTTTCTATTTTCGTTTCTTGTGTTTGACTCGTCGTGGCCTGCACGTATCAGCTATAACTGATTTAAATGTGTCTATTGCATGGAGCCGCCCCTTCCTTCACTTTCCCACTGTCGTATACGTTTGCCTAGTCGTTGATGTTGTAGTTACTGGTTGAACCGAGGAAATTCTAGCGAAAAAAAAAATACGGAAAATGTGCAAAATGAGGATAAATTAAATATTAGGATAAAAAATATAATTTTTTATAAAAAATAAATGGAACCAACCGAGAGATTTACGCGCCAAGCGACTCCTGACTTTTCTAGCTTTTCCCTGTCTGGCACCTTCACCTCATTCTCTCTCTCCCGTCCCTCCTTTCCCGCCTCCCACCTCCTTTCTTCAAAAATCACTTAGCAGCGGGGCAAAGCAAGCACATGTATGCATAAGGGAGACGCACACCACAGAGTTGTTCGCCACGAAGCCTACCAGCGCGACCGCGACACTGTCACTGTCAGCCCAAGTGAAGACACAGACAACACTCTTGTCGATGTATATGACAACGACGAAGACGACGACGTTGAGGAAAAAGAAAAGGGTTCGTCGTCGGAAAGGATTAGTATCAGTAGCAGTAGGAGGAGTATCCTTTTCTCTGGGCTGGGGCTGGCACGTTGGAACCCGATCCCGATGACACGACCGCGTACGACTAGTGCTGTGCGTTTGCCGCTGTATGATTCTCGGCCGCCGCGTCTGCGCAATGGGTCTCCACCGAAAGTACGCCGCAGTAGGCGTTCGTTGTTCTTACAACAGATGAAGTACTCGAGTTTTTGGAGACCGCGATCGGTGCTTCATTTCTGTCGTCTTGTGCTTTTTCTGGGACTGGCGATTTTGTTCGTGGTGGTTTGCTGTTGGGAACCGCATGTGGAGATTACGTTTTATCCGCGAAGTTGGATTGCGCGGGAGGTACTCCCTATAGAGCCGCTTGCAGGGTGTTTTGACCCTATGCGAGTGTCGCCGAGGTATAATTTATCGCAATTACACGCACCAAAGCGGTATGAAGTACAAGCGGGCATGCCTATGCAACTTGGTCTCGATTGTTATGATTTTGCTGGGACTTTACAACCTCAACCTCGACGTCCGCCTTTACCGGGTGAATCTCCACCCGAACGTGTCAACTTCCATACATACTGGCGAACAGACCTCGTACCATTCGGCGAACGTCAGGAATGGATGGTAAAATCCTTCTTCGCCACACAGGACCTCGCACATGCCCGACTTATTTTATGGTCGAATGGGGACCTACGAAGTAACGAGATGGTACGTCGTTGGACGAGGAAATATCCTGATGCGTTTCAACTTCGGATTGTCGATGTTGAGAACTTGGCGAAAGGAACTGCGCTAGAGGGGAGTGATCTGCTTTATGCGAAGGACAGTAAAGCTTGGGTGGATGGTGACCTTGTGAGGTTGCTTGTCACTTGGGCGTATGGTGGTGTGTGGATTGATATGGATTCGTTGCTTACGCGGGACCTTTCGCCTCTACTCGAACATGAATTCGTTACTCAATGGGATTGTTACGGTATGTCTTTTATTTTATTTTTATTTTATTCCTTTATTGTATTGTATTTTATTTATTTTTCCGACTCCATTCCTTATTCCAAACCATGCAATCCATCGCGGTTCAAAATACATATTGTCCGGCTTATCTCATACTCTTTTTCTTCTTGCAGACAAAATATACCAACCAATGAACGGCGCAGTAATGCACTTCAAACAACACTCTCCCTACCTCTGCGAAGCATTCGAGATCATGGCCCGTTCCCCACCCCCCAAATCCGGAACGACTGAATGGGGGTCGCTCTTATACTTCAAACTCTGGCGGCGACTCATCGCATCAAGCATCCCACCCTTCAAAATCCTACCGTTTTGCTTTACGGACGGCCGTTCTTGTCGACTCGATAATCGACTCCCCGACCCGTTCGCAAAGGACCGCGCTACGTGGGCCGGGATGCGCGGATTACACGAGGGAGGACCGTTAGACCAGGCATTGGGTAAGATATTTTCGGTACATTTGCATAATCAGTGGCATAAGAGTTTTCCGAGAGGTGGATGGGTGGAGAGGCTTTTGTTGAAGAGGTATGATCGAGCGTTGGGGATTGAGGGGTCTCCGTTGCATCATTTACACCAGGCTGGGGAGAAGCCGTTCATCCTCCTTGAGAAAGATGATGATTAGTACGAAAATCGAGGGGCGTTTTTTCGTTCTCCTCCAAAAGTCCGTTTGGTCGCAAAAGAGAACATCTACAATGACATGTTCTCGAACTCTCCACCAAGGCTATTATTTCTTCGAAGAGATCGACGATTACAATATTATAATTTTCACCACACTAGACGGTCAACTAGTACCCGATCCTCCTTTCTTCTCATTTATCCCCAACTTAGTTTAATTTAACTTCTACGTCAAGCCATCCTATTCAACAATGACAATGACTTTTTTTTTCTCGGATCATATTTCTCTATTTTATATTCTACACTTTACACACACGTTCTCTCGAGATTTGGATGTCACAAAACATACAGAGCCAGACCCTTCCCTCCTCCCCTTTTCTTCTGTCTCGTCTCTCCTTTTCAACCCTTTTTTACATTCTGCTATACCACTTTTCTTCTGTTACTTTATATTTCTTCATACTGTTGAGAATTTTATTTACATATACTTTTCTGTATGTCGATTAATGTAGCATATATCTATCATATAAGCTTTGGCATTGTCAAAGAGTGCTCGTTGGTTTTGTTAGCGCTTGGTAACCTAGACGGGGCAAGCGTCGATAATGAGATTGGTGGAGCAAAGTTGTGCATAAACAGTGAGTCAGCAAACCCAAGTGAGTTGCGACCTAAGTTTTACAGAGATATTACAGTAAAAGAGTTTGTTTCAGGTTTACTAGATGAAGTACATATTGATATTTCCTGTTCTAAAAGGTATTTTAAAGTACTAGGATAGTAAGCATGTTTTGAAGATCCAATCCAGATTGAGATTTATTACAGACTTTAGATGGACAATACTAACTATACATAATGTAGACCTTACTATGACATCATTCAAGCACCTATATGCACGAAATTAACCCATCGTTCAGTCGGGATCCAGTCCTTCGCCCTCAACTCCAAAGCTGCTCTCCGAAGTCCTGCAGCCGCCATTTTGTACCTCACGTTGCCATCCTCACATTCGTTCATGTGTTCATATACCGCTTTTGCAACACAAGGCCCGTCTTCATCGTATAGTTCCCACATTGTTCCAATTACACTTCGAAATCCACTGAACTGCATAGCTGCTGCCAGATGGAGCGCCTCATCGTGTGCACCGGAATGAGATAGCTCGGCAGTATGACAGGCGGAGAGGAATGCGAATTCGGCATTTGGGACGTTCGCTTGGATGATGTCGAGTAATGTCAGTCCACGGTCGGAAAGTTTGAATGATGAGTCGAAAGGTTTCGCGTCCAAGTGACCATGGCAAGCGAAGTGGATCCATGTTGCTTTCTGGAGATTTTCCATCACTGTGCTCCGAGATGCCTTGTTGTCGAGGAGCATTGTACGTTCAAGTATGCTCTCGCCAGTGCAGTTCCGGATGTTCCGAATTTCCTGTCGAGTCGAATTCAGAGTCTTGGTATCCCCAACAACAAGCAATTTCGGTTCGATTGAGTTGCCATTAGATCGAGCGTTAATGAGTGCGGCGAGGGTCGGAGTGTATGACGAAATATAGTCGTCCAGCAGGTATTTTGTAGTCCCATCTTCATCCTTGAACGGTCCAGCTGCATGGAATGGAAGTGCAGATAACACGGATGTCGGACACCACCAGATGCGAGACCCTTCTGCGATTCCAACCTCCTTAAGCTTCTCGACGACTTTGGAAACAACCCTATCCCATAACATCTTCATAACTTCACGAAGCTTTTCGTTATAATCATGCGAAGCTGCTCCAGAAGATCGACGTGCTTCCAATAATTCGTTGCACAGGTTTATACTATCCTTGAAGAACTTATCATCTAGTGAGACGCAGACAACTGGTGAGTCATCCGTGGAAAGGATAATCAGGGCATCGCATCGATATTCGGAATGATTGACCACAATGACCGGGCCCTCTGAAGATGCCTGTCGCAGTACCTTGAATGGAATAGCTTCAAGGAAATTCTCGAACCCCTGAACTCGTCGAATCTCGTTAATGACATCTTCTTGCTCGCGCGAAAGTTGCCTCTTTAACTTCAAGAGCTCATCAAATGACCTCCACCCCAATTCGCCATCCAGCCGATGAGATCTATCTCCTCGATTGATGGTTGAGACGGGCACTAATGCTTCGTGGGATATTGCAAGATCCTCCAGTCGACGACTGACAGTCCTGAATCTTTTGGCGAGCCCTTCGTTCGTTTCTGCGAGCTGATCTAGAGGGGACCTAAGTCCGCGCAGCTGTGACCAAAGTAAGCCTCTTCCTTGATCCAGTATCTCTACGGCTTGTTCCAATTGATCCTTCTCTATTGCATAGGAAGCAGCATCCAGGGAGAGTATTCTGTGATCACTATTCCTCAGAAGGAAGTCATGCTGTGCGCGAAGAGTCGGATTTACGGTGAGGGCGTGTTGAAGTATTGATAATGCCGTTTGGTATGCTGTGAAGGTAGTGCTGTGGCTGTACGGTCGCGCAAGCGCTGCCCATCCTTGTGCAGCAATTAGGCGACCCAATGATCCTGAGAAGCTATGGGTAGCAGCAAGTTCCAGCAACTGTATACATTCCTCGAATTCTTCCACTTGCCATCGTTTCTCAATCCGAGTTAGTAAGGAATCCGTGAGGTTCACCAGTGACGTGGTACGATCCGGATGGCCCTCGGGTCGAAGCGCAACGGAGGCTCGTCCCAACTGGATGGCCTCTTCAAGGTCATCTGTCTTTCCATACTGTTTGAATCGAATACTCAGAGAGCTGGCAAGATTGCTGAGGGGCGTAGAACGATTCGGATGGCATTCGGAGTGGAGCTCGAGGGCGGACCGATGCAGATTAATGGCTTCCTCGAGGTCCTCCGCGCTTCCCTGCTGTTTGTATCGAGTAAGCAGAGAGTTTGCGAGGTTGTTGAGAGTCATAGAGCGATCAGGATGGCCTTTGGGCAGAAGCTCGAGGGCAGCTCGTTGTAACCCAATGGCCTCCTCGAGGTCATCTGTCATTCCATACTGTTCGAATCGAGTACTCAGAGAGTTTGCAAGGTTATCGAGGGACGATGAACGAAGAGGATGACCTTCGGGTCGGAGCTCGAGGGCGGCCCGATGTAGGTTGAGAATCTCTTCAAGGTCCTCCGCCCTTCCCTGCTGCTTGTATCGAGTAAACAGACAACATGCAACGTTGTTGAGATTCGTAGAGCGTTCTGGATTGCCTTCGGGTCGGAGCTCGAGGGCGGCCCGTTCCAGCTGAATGGCCTCCTCGAGGTCCTCTGTCCTTCCATGCCGCTTGTAACGTGAGCTCAGAGAGCCTGCAAGGTTGTTGAGAGACGTAGAGCGATCAGGATGGCCTTCGGGTAGAAGTTCAAGGGCGGCTCGGTTCAACTCAATGGCTTCCTCTAAATCTCCCGATTGACCCCACCGCTCGTATCGCGCTGAAAGAGAAAGCGCAAGATTATACAACGATTTCGAACGATCGAGATGCCCTTCAGGGCGTAACTTCAGAGCAGTGCGATCGTGCGTAATGGATATTTCGAGTTCCCCCTGTTCCCCTGACTGCTCGAAGCGTTCCCAGTGCTTGAGGGCAAGTTTGTGATGCGTCCAAGGATCATCAAGATCAATAGAATTTTCAAAAGAACCTCCGGTTGCAGTACTACTGGTTTCCATCTCCTTTTGTGCTCTACATAAGTGCAACATTGGTCAGAATTTGATTCTTTCAGCGAGAAGTAAACGCCCTAAACAGACATACATCACCTGGAAGAACTAGTGATAATCTATCTTTGCACTTCTGCTATATGCACAGCAAATCGCTCGACAGCTTGATACTATATTCACTAGTGAGCCTTTACACTCCAGAAAGTAATATATGAAGTTGATGTCTGAGGAATATTCTGAAATGAGTGGGCAGCTTTTTGTTGGCTCGACTGCACGTGGTACAAGACGACACAGACGGGAGATGGCACTAGCGATGTGCACAACGTTGTGGTTAGGAGTAAGAGGCGGGCGCTTGTCCAGTGCACTGGCCATGCTGAGCACGATGCGATGTAATAGCGTTCGCGACAAAAATAGATTGGTTGCCTTTTTTTGCAATGTTGTTATTCGTTTACATAATCGTTTACATAATTGGGGAAGAGAAAGAGAAAGAATAAAGTGATATGTATCACGTGAGCTGAATGACAATCGATGCGATACGTCATTTGGTGTTGCCTTGGCCCTTGAATATATGTTTGCCAGGCTGCAGCATCGACATCGTTTCTTCTGGGAATCTCATGTGGAGATTGCGTTTTATCCACACAATTGGATCGCGCGCGAAGCTGTCCCTGTTAGAACTGCTTGCAGGGTGTTTAGGTTATAATTTATAGCAGTTACACTATGAAGTTCAAGCAGGCGTGCTGATGCGACTTGGTCTTGACTGTTATGACCTTGCTAAGTTGCTGCTACTCTACGACCTCAACCTCGATGTCCACCTACACTGGAAGAATCTCGACCAGAACGCGTCGACTTCAATACATACTGGCAAACAGACCTCGTACCCTTCGGGTGAACGAAGAATGGACGAACAAGTCCTTCTTTACCACTCAGGACCTCTCGCTCGCTCAACTTATTTTATGGTCGAATGGAGACCTACGAAGTCACCAGATGGTGCGGCACTAGACGAGAAAGTATCCTGATGCATTCCAATTGCCGATTGTCGATATTGAGAACCTTGCAAAAGGAGCCGCTTTGGAGGGGAGTGATCTGCTTTGTTTGGAGGACAATAAAGCTTGGGTGGATGATGTCCTTGTGAGGTTGTCGCTTGTGCATATGGTGGTGTGTGGGTTGATATGGATTCGTTACTTACGCAGGACCTGTCTCCTCTCCTTGAGCATGAGTTCGTTACCCAGTGGGATTGTTATGGTATGTCTTTTTATTTCTTCTATTTTTTTAAATTAAATTTTATACTTTATTTTTCCGACTCCATTCCTTATTCCAAACCATGCAATCCATTGCGGTTCAAAATACGCATTGTTCGACTTATCTCATGAGCCTTTTCTTTTTCCGCAGACAAAATATACCAACCAATGAACGGCGCAGTAATGCACTTCAAACAGCACTCTCCCTATCTCTGCGAAGCATTCGAGATCATGGCCCGCTCGCCTCCACCAAAATCTGGAACAACCGAATGAGGGTCCCTCTTATGCTTCAAACTCTGGAAGCGTTTCATCGCGTCGAGCATCCCGCCCTTCACAATCCTGCCGTTTTGCTTTACGAACGGCCGTTACTACAGACTCGACAATCGACTCCTCGACCCGTTTGCTAAAGACCGTACCTCCTGGGCGGGGATGCAAGGGTTACATGAAGGAGGCCCGTTAGACCAGGCATTGGGTAAGATTTCCTCGGTGCATTTACATAATCAGTGGCATAAGAGTTTTCCGAAAGGTGGATGGGTGGAGAGGTTGCTGTTGAAGAGATATGATCGGGCGTTGGGGATTGAGGGATCGTCGTTGCATCACTTACTATAGGCTGGGGAGAAGCTATTCATCCCTCGAGAAAGATGACGAGACCCCCCACGCTCCTTTCTGTTTGACAATGGCAATGGCAACAACGAAGACGTTTTTTATCATGTTTCCTCTATTTCCTTCTTTTCTCTCTCACTTTTTATTTACTGCACCTTTCCTCTGAACACATCTCCCTAATATCTGAACATCACAAAATATACAGAGCCAGCCCCTCTCGCCCCCTTTTTTTAATCTTGTCTCTCCCTTTCACGCTTTTTTACATCATGCTATACTATTCATCTTCCGTTACTTTATATTTCTTCATATTATCGAAAATTTATTTACATATACTTTTCCGTATGTCGATTAATGTAGCATATATCTATCATTAAAACTTTGAGATTGTCAAAGAGCGTTTGTTGGTCCAATAGTACATTGAGATACGTTACAGATTTTGGATGTACAATAATAATACAGTTTGTGGAGCTTGTTATAACATCATTTAGGCACCAATATGGACGAAATTAACCCATCGCTCAGTCGGAATCCAGTCCCTCGTCCTCAACTCCAAAGCTGCTTTCCGAAGCCCTGCAGCCGCCATTTTGTACCTCGCTTTGCCATCTTCACATTCGTTCATGTGTTCATATACTGCACGTGCTACACAAGGTCCATCTTCATCGTACAGCTCCCACATTGTTCCGATTACACTTCGGAACCCACTAAACTGCATAGCTGCTGATAGGTGGAGCGACTCATCGTGTGCACCGGAATGAGACAGCTCAGCAGTATGGCAGGCGGAGAGGAATGCGAACTCGGCATTTGGAACATTAGCTTGGATGATATCCAGTAATGTCAACCCACGGTCTGAAAGTTTGAATGAGGAGTCGAAAGGTTTTGTGCCCAAATGACCGTGGCAAGCGAAATGAATCCATGTGGCCGTCTGGAGATTTTCTATCACTGTACGGCGAGATGCCTTTTTATCGAGGAGTATTGTGCGCTCAAGTATGCTCTCGCCAGTGCAGTTCCGGATGTTCCGAATTTCCTGTCGAGTTGAACTCAGAGTCTTGGTATCGCCAACAATAAGCAATTTCGGTTCAACTGAGTTGCCATTAGATCGAGCATTAATGAGTGCGCCGAGTGTCGGAGTGTACGATGAAACATAGTCATCTAACAAATATTTCGTATTCCCATCTTCATCCTTGAACGGCCCAGCTGCATGGAATGGAAGCGCAGATAACACCGATGTAGGACACCACCAGATACGAGACCCTTTTGCGATTCCAACTTCCGCAAGCTTCTCGACGACTTTGGAAACAACCCTATCCCATAGCATCTTCATTGCTTCACGAAGCTTTTCGTTATAATCACGCGAAGCCACTCCAGATGATCGACGTGCTCCCAATAACCTATCGCAAAGGTTTATGCTATCCTCGTAGAACATGTCGTCTAGTGGAACACAGACAACTGGTAAGACATCCCAAGACAGGATAATGAGGGCATCACATCTATATTTGCAATGATTGACTATAATGACCGGACCTTCCGATGCCACTTGCCGCAGTACTCTGAACGGTGTTGCCTCAAGGAAATTTTCAAACCCTGAAATCCGTCGAATCTTATATATGACCTCCTCCTGCTCACAGGAAAGTTGCCTCTTTAATTTCAACAGCTCATCAAATGACCTATGTCCTGATTCACTGTCCAGCCGACATGATCTTGCCGCGCCTATGGTTGAGCCAGATATTGACGTTTCATGAGATGTTGCGAGATTCTCCAACTTTTGACTAACATTTCGGAATCTGTCTGCGAGGTCCTCGTTTGTTTTCGCAAGCTGATCGAGAGGATGCCTAAGACCGCGCAACTGCGACCAGAGTAAACCCCGCCCTTGTTCCAATATCTCTACTGCCAATTCCAATTGACTTTTCTCTACAACGTAGGAGGCAGCATCCAAGGAGAGTACCCTGTGATCACTATTCCTCAGAAGGAAGTCATGTTGCGCATGAAGAGTCGGATTTACAGTGAGAACGTGTTGAAGTATTGACAGTGTCGCCTTGTAAGCCACAAGGGTAGAGCTATGGTCGCGCGATCGCGCAAGTGCCGCCCATCGTCGCGCAGCAAGAAGGCGATCCGATGATCCCGAGAAGCTATGGATAGCAGCAAGCTCCAGTAGCTGCATACAGCCCTCGAACCCTTCCGCTTGCCACCGCTTCTCCATCCGAGCACACAGGGATGTTACGAGGTTGAGCAATGACGCGGAACGCCTCGGATGGCCTTCGGGTCGAAGGTCGACGGCGGCTCTTTCCAGGTCAATAGCCTCCTCAAGGTCCCCTGTCCTTCCATGCTGCTTGAATCGAGTAAACAGAGAACCTGCGAGGTTGTTGAGAGACAATGAGCGATCAGGATAACCTTTGGGAAGAAGCTCGAGGGCGGCTCGTTCCAGCTCAATGGCCTCCTCGAGGTCCTCTGTCCTTCCATACTGTCCGAATCGAGTACTCAAAGAGTTTGCAAGGTTGATGAGGGACGATGAACGATCAGGATGGCCTTCAGGTCGGAGCTCGAGTGTAGCGCGATGCAGGTTGAGAGCATCTTCAAGGTCCTCTACTCTTCCCTGCTGCTTGTATCGAGTAGTTAGATGGCCCGCAATGTTGTTGAGAGACATCGAGCGATCAGGATGGCCTTCGGGTCGAAGCTCGAGGGCTGCTCGTTCCAGCCCGATGGCCTCCTCGAGGTCATCCATCCTTCCATACTGTTCGAATCGAGTGCTCAGAGAGCTTGCAAGGTTCATGAGAGACTTAGAACGTTTCGGATGTCCTTTGGGGAGAAGCTCGAGGGCGAATCGTTGCACTTCGATGGCTTCCTCAAGGTCCTCTGCCCTTCCCCGCTGCTTGTATCGAGTGTGCAGAGAGTTTGCGAGATTGACGACAGACAACGAGTGATCAGGATGGCCTTCGGGTCGAAGCTCGAGGGCGGCTCGTTCCAGCCCGATGGCCTCCTCCAGGTCATCTATCCTCCCATGCTGCTCGTATCGAGCCTTCAAAAAGCTTGCGAGGTTGTTGAGAGACGCAGAGCGATTAGAATGGCCTTCGGGGTGATGTTCCAGGGCGGCTCGTTCCAACTCGATGGCTTCCTCAATGTCATCTATCCTCCCATGCTGCTTGTATCGAATGTACAGAGAGCCTGCAAGATTGTTGAGAGCGGTAGAGCGATTCGGATGGCCTTCTGGTCGAAGCTCGAGGGCGGTTCGTTCCAGCCTGATGACCTCCTCAAGGTTCTCTGTCCTTCCATCCCGATCGTATCGTGAGCTCAGAGAGCTTGCAAGGTTGATAAGAGACGTAGAGCGATCAGGATGGCCTTCGGGTCGAAGCTCGAGGGTGGCTCGGTTCAACTCAATCGCTTCCTCTAAATCTTCCGATTGACCCCACCGTTCGTATCGCGTCCAAAGAGAAACTGCAAGGTCGCACAACAATTCCGCGCGATCGGGATGCCCCTCAGGGCGTAGCTTGAGAGCAGTTCGATTGTGTGCATTGGACGTTTCGAGTTCTTCTCGTTCCCCCGACTGCTCGAAGAGCTTCCAGTGCTTGAGGGCAAGGCTGTGATGTGTCTCAGCAATAATGTCCACAAGAGAGTCTGGAATAGCAGTATATATCCTTTCCATCCTTTTATGTACTCTACATTAGGATTGCATTGGTCAGAATGTGATTCCTGCAGCGAGAAGGTAACACGTTAAACGAGAATACGTTACCTGGCAGGGCTCGTAATAAGCACTTCTTCTCTATGCACAGCAAACCGCTCGACGACTTGAGCCAATAATTGTTAGTGGACCTTTGCAATTCAAAAAGTAGTGTATGAAGAGATTGATTTGAGTGATGTTTTGGAACGAGTAGGCAGCTTTTTGTCAGCTAGACTGAGTCTGCTCCTGGTACGAGACGACACAGACGGGCGATGGCACAAGCAATGTGCACAACAATGTTATTAGGAGTAAGAAGCAATTGCTTGTCTAGTGCACTGGCCATGCTGAGTATGAATCTACAAAGGCGATGTGATAGCGTTTGCGACAAAAACGGATTGGGTTGCCTTTGTTTAACTACTAGAATGGTGATTTGAATCACGTGAACAGGATGTCGCCTCTAGAGTCTAGAGCATCAACTTCGTTTCTCGTGTTTTGGTATTGGGAATCTCATGTAGAGATGATGTTTTACCTGTGTAGTTGGAATGTGCATGAGGTGCTCCCTCTAGAGCTGAGCGCAGATGTTTTTGACCCCATGCATGTGTCCTGGACTCCTGGAGGTATACTTGACAGCAGTTACACGCGCCGAAGCAATATGAAGTTCAAGCAGGTATGCTGATGTGACTTGGTATCGGCTCTGTTATGACTTTGCTGGTACTCTATAGTCTCAACCTCGACGTCCGCCTGCACTGGAACAACCTTTACCAGAACACTTTAACTTCCATACATACTAGCACTGGCGTACATCCCTCGGACTGTTTGGCGAGCACCAGGAATGAATGAACAAGTTGTTCTTTGCTACACAGGATCTCACACATGCTCGACGTCCTTTTGGTCGAACAGAGATCCATAAAGTGACGAGATAGTACGTCGCTGGACAAGGAAATACCCCAATGCGTTTCAATTGTGGATTGTTGATAGTAAGAATCTTGCGAAGGTAACTGTGTTGTGGGGGAGAGATCGGCTTTATGTAATTGATAGTAAAGCTTGGGTGGATAGCAATCTCGTATGGTTGCTTATTACTTGGGCATATGGTGGTATCTGGATTGCCATGGATTCGCTGCTTACATGAGACCTTTCCTCTCTCCTCGAGCATGAATTTGTTACTTGGTGAAACCATGACGGTGTGTTAATTCTCTCAATCTAATAACCTTACTCCAACCTAAGCCCATCTTTGTTTTACAAGGATATAATACGAACGAGTGATTGGCGCAGTAATGCACTTCAAACGACACTTTCCCTATCTCTGCGGAGTATTCGAGATCATGGTGCACTCGCTTCCATCAAAACCCGGAACAACCAAATGAGGCTCCCTGTTATACTTCAAACTTGGTGTCGACTCATCACACCGAGTTTCCCACCTACCAGAATCGTGCCATTTTGCTTCACGGACGGCTGTTCTCGTCGACTCGATAATCGACTCCCTAACTCGTACCCCAAAGACTGCACCACCTGGGCTGGGATGTGCAGATTACACGAGAGAGGCCTGTTAGACCAGGCGTTGGGTAAGATATTCTTGGTGCACTTGCATAATCAGTGGCATAAGAGTTCCCGAGAGGTGGACTGGTGGAGAGGCTTTGTTGAAGAGATATGATCGAGTGTTGGGAATTGAGGGGTCGCCATTGCATCATTTACATCAGGCTGGGGAGAAGCCGTTCATCCTCCTTGTGAAGGATTATAATAAGTATGCCTTGGGGGAACGTATTCAGTTTTTGTCGATGTGAATTGAGGTAGTCATCAGTAACAACACTTCTCTTCTCGCTCTTTGGTCGCGAGACAGACTACAGGTGGATGTAGAAATTGACGCAGTCAGGTGAGAGTCTTGTGACGATCGACGCTGCCTTACTTAGAAATATTACACAATATTACAGCATATTTCAACTAAATAAGGCAGTGTCGATCGTCACATGATCTCCACCTGACTACGTCAATTTCTACATCCACCTGTATTTACAATGCATTACATAAGTCTACCTCTCCGCCGAGACCATTACTTTGAAGAGATCCACCACTGACGATTATAGTATTTGTCTTCACTGCATTGGACAACTAGTACCAGTCCCTCTCCTTCCTTTCATGTAGTTCTACCTTGCTTATCCACTACGTTCCCAACATTTACCAATGATAATTATTTCAATGATAAAAACGATTCTTACTAAAACAAAGTTTACAACTCTCTTCTCTCCCACTTCCTGTTTTCAGGTATTTTTAACTATTCTATTAGCAAGAAACATAGATACAATTGCATGTAGTATAGAATAGATGTATGGACGAGACGAAGGACTTATACTCGAGAGTAAGCATGGTAGTTGAATTCCATAGCAAGTATGTTACAAGTGTCAAATAAATAAATCTAGTAACACATGTTATAGAACTTATTACAGCACAATGTCATTCAAGCACCAATATGGACGAAATTTACCCATCTCTCAGTCGGAACCCAATGCTTCTCCCTCAACTCCAAAGCTGCTCTCCGAAGTCCTGCAGCTGCCAATTTATATCTCGCTTCGACATCTTCACATTCGTTCATGTGCTCGTACACTGCACGTGCTACACAAGGTCCATCTTCATCGTACAGTTCCCACATTGTTCCAATTACACTTCGGAACCCACTGAACTGCATAGCTGCTGATAGATGGAGCGCCTCATCGTGTGCGCCGGAATGAGACAGCTCAGCAGTATGGCAGGCGGAGAGGAATGCGAACTCGGCATTTGGGACATTAGCTTGAATGATATCCAGTAATGTCAATCCACGGTCGGAAAGCTTGAATGAGGAGTCGAAAGGTTTTGTGCCCAAATGACCGTGGCAAGCGAAGTGAATCCATGTAGCCGTCTGGAGATTTTCTATCACTGTACGGCGAGATGCCTTTTTTATCGAGGAGTATTGTGCGCTCAAGTATGCTCTCGCCAGTACAATTCCGAATGTTCCGAATCTCCTATCGAGTTGACTTCAGAGTCTTAGTGTCGCCAACAATAAGCAATTTAGGTTCGATTGAGTTGCCGTTAGATCGGGCATTTATGAGCGCTCCAAGTGTCGGAGTGTACGACGAGACATAATTGTCCAATAAGTACTTTGGGGTACCATCTGCATCCGTGAATGGTCCTGCTGCGTGGAATGGAAGTGCAGCTAACACCGATGTAGGACACCACCAGATCCGAGACCCTTCTGCGATTCCAACTTCTGTAAGCTTCTCGATGACTTTGGAAACAACTCTATCCCATAACATCTTCATTGCTTCACGAAGCTTTTCGTCATAACCATGCGAAGCTGCTCCAGAGCATCGACGTGCTTCTAACAACTCGTTGCACTGGTTTATGCTATCCTCATAGAACGCAACGTCTAGTGGAACGCAGACAACTGAAAAGTCACTCCGAGAGAGGATAATGAGGGCGTCACATCGATATTTGCAATGATTGACCATAATGACCGGACCATCCGATGCTGCTCGCTGCAGCACCCGAAAAGGCGTGGCTTCAAGAAAGTTTTCGAAGCCAGGGACTCGTCGAATATCATTCATGATCTCCTGTTGCTCATGCGAAAGTTTTTTCTTTAATTTCAAAAGCTCATCGAATGATTTCTGCCCCAATTCGCCATCCAGCCGATGTGAACCACTTCGATTGATGTCTGAGCCAGACGCTAATGCTTCGTGCGATGTCGCAAGATCCTCCAGTTGACGACTAACATTCCTGAATCTGTCTGCAAGCTTTCCGTTCGTTTCCGCAAGCTGATCGAGAGGATGCCTAAGACCACGCAGCTGTGACCAAAGTAAGCCTCTTCCCTGCTCCAGTATCTCTATAGCTTGTTCCAATTGACTTTTCTCTGCAGCGTAGGAGGCAGCGTCCAAGGAGAGTACCCTATGATCACTATTCCTCAGAAGGAAGTCATGTTGCGCATGAAGAGTCGGATTTACGGTGAGAACGTGTTGAAGTATTGACAGTGTTGCCTTGTAAGCTGAAAAGGTAGAGCTGTGGTAGTGCGATCGCGCAAGCGCAGCCCATTGTCGCGCAGCAAGAAGGCGAACCAATGATCCTGAAAAGTTATGAGTAGCAGCGAGCTCCAGCAATTGCATACATTCTTCGAACTCCTCCGCGTGCCATTTCTTCTCCATCCGAGCTTGTAAGGAAATCGTGAGGTTCGTCAGTGACGCGGTACGATTCGGATGGCCTTCGGGACAAAGCTCAAGGGCTGCTCGTTCCAGCCCAATGACCTCCTCGAGGTCATCTGTCTTTCCGTACTGTTTGAATCGAGTACTCAGAGAGTTTGCAAGGTTGATGAGGGAAGTAGAACGATTCGGATGGCCTTCGGGCCGAAGCTCGAGGGTGGCCCGTTCCAGCTCAATAGCCTCCTCAAGGTCCTCTATCCTCCCATGCAATGTGAATCGAGTACCCAGAAAATTTGCAAGGTTATCAAGAGACGTGGAACGATTCGGATGACCTTCAGGTCGGAGCTCGAGGGCGGCCCGATACATTTCGAGAGCATATTCAAGATCTTCCACGCCACCCTGTCGCCTGTATCGAGTACTCAGAGACTTTGCAAGGTTATTAAGAGACATGGAACGAAGAGGATGGCCTTCGGGTGGAAGCTCGAGCGCGGCTCGCTGCAGCTCGATGGCCTCCTCGAGGTCATCTATCCTTCCATACTGTTCGAATCGAGTAATCAAAGAGTTTGCAAGGTTGATGAGGGACGTAGATTGATCAGGATGGCCTTCGGGGAGAAGCTTGAGGGCGGCCCGATACAGGCCAAGAGTCTCTTCAAGGTCCCCTGCCCTTCCCTGCTGGCTGTATCGGGTGTGCAGAGAGACTGCAAGGTTGTTGAGAGACGTAGATCGATCAGGATGGCCTGCAGGTCTAAGCTCGAGCGCGGCTCGTTCCAGCTCGATGGCCTTCTCAAGGTCCTCTGTCCTTCCATACTTTTCGAATCGAGTGCGCACAGAGTTTGCAAGATTGTTAAGAGACATGGAGCGATGAGGATGGTCTTCTGGAGAAAGCTTAAGGGCGTCTCGTTGCAGATCACTGGCCTCCTCAAGGTCCTCGGTCCTGCCAAACTGTTGGTATCGAATCATCAGAGAGCTCGCAAGATTGATTAGAGACGTAGAGCGATCAGGATGGCCCCCGGGTCGAAGCTCGAGAGCGGCTCGTTCCAGCTTGATGGCCTCCTCGAGGTCCTCTTTCCTTCCATGCCGCTCATATCGTGAACTTAGAGAGCTCGCAAGGTTGTTGAGAGACGTGGGGCGATCAGGATGGTCTTCCGGATGAAACTCGAGGGCGGCACGGTTCATCTTAATGGCTTCTTCTAGATCTTCCGATTGGCCCAACCGCCTGTATCGCGTCGAAAGAGAAACTGCAAGGTTACACAACGATTTCGAACGATCGGGATGCCCATCAGGGCGTAGCTTGAGAGCTGTGCGATCGTGTGTAATGGACGTGTCGAGTTCTTCCCGTTGCCCCGACTGCTCGAAGAGCTTCCAGTACTTGAGGGCAAGGCTGTCATGTGTCTCAGCAGTAACGTTCACAAGGGAATCTCGAATTGTAGTATGAATCGTTTCCATCTCTTTATGTACTCTATATTAGTGTATTGGTCAGAATGGGATTCCTGCAGCGAGAAGGTAACACGTGAAACGAGGATACGTTACCTGGAAGGGCTAGTAATAATCAATCTTTGCACTTCTGCCCTATGCACAGCAAATTGCTCGACGACCTGAGACCAAGTTTACTAGCAGACCTCTGCAATTCAAAAAGGATACGAAGAGGATTTTTGAGGGATATTACGGAACGAGTGGAGGCCTTTTTGTCACCCAAACCGCAAGTACTATAAAATGGCACAAACAAAAGACGGCGCAAACGATGAGCACAACGTTGTGGTTAGGGGTAAGGGTAAGAGGCGGGCGCTTGTTCAGTGCATTGATCATGCTGAGCATGATGACGATGCGATATAAACTGGATTGCCTTTTTTGCAATTATGGAATAAAGAGATTTGGATCACGTGAGGGGATGTCGATCGATACGTCATTAATATTGCCTCGTGTGTTTGCCCACATCGCATCGACTGTTTTTAGTGCTAGGAGTCGTATGTAGAGATTATGTTTTATCTGCGCAGTTGGATTGCGCGTGAAGTGTTCCCTATCGAGCCGCTTGCAGGGTGCTTTGGTCCCATGCCACGGGCCATGCATGGATCGCCAAGGTATAATTTATTGCAATTGCATGCACCAAAGCGGTACAAGGACCGTCCAGGCGGGTATGCCGATGCGACTTGTACTCGATTGCTATGACTTTTCTGGGACTCTGCAATCTCAGCCTCGACGTCCGTCTGTACCAGGAGAATCTCCACCAGAACGCGTGAACTTCCATACATACAGTAACATACTGGCTTATAGACCCCGCACCTTCGGTGAAGGTGTCAGAAGGTCAGGAATGGACGGTCAAGTCCTTCTTCGCCGCACAGGACCTCTCACTACTCGACTCATTTTATGGTCGAATGAAGATCCACGAAGTAAGAGGATGGTGTGTCGCTACTGCTGGCCAAAGAAGTACCCTGACGGATCCCAATTGAGGATTGTCGATATTGAGAATCTCGCGAAATGAACTGCTTTGTAGCGGAGTAATTTAATTTACGCGAAGGACAGTAAAGGTAAGGTGGATAGTGACCTTCGTGACTTCGGTTTGCGGTGGTGTATGGGTTGATGTGGCTTTCTTATTTATGCAGGACCTTTCTGCTCTCCTCGAGCATGAGCTCGTTACCCAGCGCGACTGGTACGGTATAGGATCCTATTTCTCCAATTTCATTTCTCACCCCAAAATAAATCCATCTCGTTTTTACAGACAATATACACTAGTTGGTGAACAGCGCAGTGATGCGCTTCAAACAACACTTTCTTTATCTCTGCGAAGCAGTTGAGATCATGAGGATTCATGGCTTGCTCACCTCCACCAAATTCAGGAACAACCGAAATCGGTTCCCTCTCGTACTTCAAACTCTGGCGTCGACTCATCTCGTCAAGCATCCCACCCTTAAAAATCCTACCGTTCTTGTCGACTTGGTAATTGACTCCCCGATCCGTTCGCGAAAGACCGTGGTACGTGGGCCGGGACGCGTGGGTTACACGAGGGAGGACCGTTAGACCAGGCGTTGGATAAGGTATTCTCAGTGCATTTGCATGATCAGTGACACAAGATTGTAGGCAAGTGTCGTTGTAACATATACGGCCTCCTCAATGAAGATGAAAACCCCCCGAATTCTATACTAATCGTCATCCTTCTCAAGGCTTCTCCCCAACCTATAGTTGCTGAAGTCCGGTCCTGGTCCGGTCCGGGCATACTTCACCTGGACTCAGGACCGGACCAAATCTGCGGTCCGGGAGTGTCCCGGACTGGGGACCGGACCTATGTGGACGGGTAGTGGACCGGACCCAAGTTCCAGTCCGGTTCTGGACCGGTCCATAACCGGACCTGAGAGAAAAAAAATTTAAGAGATGAGTTAGAGTATTATTCTTTGTATCTAAGTACAAAAGTAATATATTTTTGTATATACTACATAATCTACAGACTAGACACTGTAGTGGTTTTCCTGACGCAATTCTGAGGCTTCGGCGCGAGCCTCGCGACACGAGTCCTGAAGCTGGACTACAACTGCCTCTAAGCTGGTTACTGCGATTTACGGACACTTAGTTGTCGGAACATGAATATTTAGGTACTTAGCAGCAGACGGACCTGTCTCTTCGAGGGTGGCAATATAGTTGGCACGGCGTGCACGGAAAGCAGCCTGAGCGTCAGCATTCTTCTTTCTGAGAGTGATTTCGGACATCTTGTCTAATTTGTCAGGGGCAGGGGCATTGGCTGGCTGCTTGACTGGGGAGGGCGGCTGGGACTGCGGCGTCTTTGGCATAGGACGGGAGAGGAGTGAATATACATAAAGGGAATAAATATTTCGGGAGACAATAACCAGATAGGAAGAGTCAAGTTTAGTAAGCCATACATTGAACAGTAAAGAACAGGAATAAAGTTTTGCTTTGCTTGGACTGCCAGAAACTTGTAAAATGTACTATGCAAGTGCTAGCTAATATTCAAAGATCCTTAAAGGAGTATGATCTGTTTTAGTATAGTGAGCTAGAGATATGGGAAACGAGATTTGAGACATTAGTTCAGGTTATTCAGGTCCGGAGTCCAGTCCGGGTCCGGACGAGTCCATCGGTCCGGGAAATTTCTCAAAATGATGGACCCAGGACCGGACCTCTCCTGGACCCATGAGGACCGGACTGTAGAGGACCGGTCCATCAGTCCAGTCCTGCGTCCGGACCGAGTCCGAGCGGTCCGGGACCGGACATCAGCAACTATACCCCAACCTGAGGTAAATAATGCAACGGAGACCCTCAACCCCAAGTGCCCGATCATATCTCTTCAACAACAATCCTCCACCCATCCACCTCTCGAGAAACAAGTACATTTGGCTGCAAGAGAGGCTATATACAAGAACATGCTCTCTGAGTCCTCATCATTACCCTTATCTTTCTATTGTCCAATCATCAATGTGGAAAAAGGGAGAGAGCAAAGCACTGTGTTATGGACAACATATAGAGCTGAGTATATTATGCAACTTGAGAGCAGGCAATGGAGGACCCAGTACTAACACTACTGTCATTGAGAGGTGACATTCAATGCTCAAACGTTTGCACAATAGAATGGCAAAGACTAGGGACTCCAAATCACGTGTGTGACACTCGTTTGCGTTGGTCGAGTACCAATATTGCACTACAAATTAGATATACTACTTCAGCATCATGTATATGAGAATGTGGAAGGAAGTAAAGACAATAATGCCCTTATGAGGTTTGCATATTTGATGTATTGCATTTATGTATTGTAGTTGGCCAGCTTGCCACATCTTACACTTACATCATTATGTTCTGTAGCAGTGCATTTTGTAACACCTGGGAAGTTTACTTTGCTCTGTTTCCAACCAGTATATCAACCTTACAGTCTCCCCATTTTGGCCCCTTCTTTCACCCATTACTGTACCACTTGTTACTAAGTACACAATCTAATACTCAGGCATCTGTATTGTTACATAGCTTCAAGCACAAGAACATCACGAAAAAGTCGCAACAAATGTATTTAATAATAGCAAAAGTAATCTAATAAAATGATTTCATAAGCATTACATTCTAAAATAATACTTATATTTTACTTGTAATGTAATTATAATGATTGTATATAAATGTAAGAAATATACAAAGTTTCTATTAAACTACAAACATGTTTTAGAGCAAGTAAGCTTACTAATAGTATTATTACAACATTACATGTGAGATACAAGCACTTAACTCTTATTATAATCTGCTAAAATTATATTATAAGTTATTTGTAACAATAGTTGATTGATTATAATAGTCATAAAAGTAATACATTGTACTTGTAAGTTAATTACAATACTTCTAGTAAGATAATATGCAATTATATATATTAATATTGATAACAATCACTCTGTCAGACTTATAAAATAATTTGGTTTTACTTTTAAACAATATATCGAAGTGATTACATAATCGAGTACTGAAGATCGAGCGCATATAATGACGCACTTGCTCTCGTCACTCCTTTTCCTCCTACCTCCACCATCTCCCCAACCCTCTTCTCCCAATGCTATGTCGTCGCTCTTGTTCTCTCTAGCCCAGTCCTCTGCCTACAAGCATCCTCCAGCAGGCACACTGCCTGCAATAAACATCACTGTATTCGTCTCTCTAATCTGCCACTGCAATGCTTGTGCTGAACCTCAGATCCTGTGACGACACGACTGAGCTGGCTACACCGTCCTCATCGTAAAGCG